AAAAGGAGTTTTTTTCCGCGTACAACCTCTCTGTGGAATAATTTACCACCGGTGATTTTTCCGGACCGATACGACCAGGGGACCTTCAAGAAAAGAGCTTACTCCTTTCTAAAGGGCCGGCAACGCACCTGCAATTCCCCCTGGTGTTGCGGTTGATCATGGGCGGCGGTAGTCACTTAACATCAGGTGAGCCACATGATCGTTTGCCCCCCACTTCTATAAAAAAAAAACCTAGAATCCTGTTTCCACAATCTTATGAGTAAACCTTTTATAATTCGTGGGTTCTTAAGGTCTGAAAAGTGCCATTTTTATCACTTACTGGCTGATTCACTGTCTCACTCGTTAAAAACTCAGGCTACTTCTAGGGGTATGTTCCAAAATAGAACCCAGTGTACTCGTACTGTCCAATGCAAATGACGTCATGAATCGACGCTATACTGGTGATTCGTTCCAAAACGTAGGACAGTATATGACGTCATACATTCGCGCCATATTGGAAAAGTGTTGGCGATTATTTTGTCATTTTGTGCTCCAAAATTATTATATCCTCCTAATAGAGATACCAGCAATTATACTATAATTTTTTGTGTTTGAATAAATAAAAACAAATTCTGGCATGCTTCATTCAGCGCACAAACAATTAAAAATTGTTTTGTTGTGGCCTTACTTGGCCATTGTGGTATCCGACACAATATGGCGGCGGCACGCCAGTACAATATAGTGTCAATTGATGACGTCATGCTCACCCTAGGTTACTATTTATGTAGAAACTTGAAACTTGACATCAACGTCAGGTCAGACGTATACTAAGGAAAAACTCGGAAAACTACAAATTAACGATATCCAGTGGTATAAAATCCGTATAAAAGTCACAGCACTAGGTTGAATAATAAGTTTTCGGAATAGAACACTTATCAATGAGCTATAGCAATCCGTTCTATTTAATTTAAATCTTAAATTCGTTAATAGCCAAGGCCAAAAAAAACTTAATTAAAAACTATACCCATTTTTATCAAACTTGAGGTTTGGTGGTAATTTCACTCGTATGCAAAATGGAGTACTTGAACTTCGTTCGGTTAATAAATATTTCTGCCAGAAAAGTTATTCTACCAAAAGCGTTTTTGAAAAACAAGTTTGACAGACAATGTTCCTTCTTAATCTACAGTTGAATACTGATGCGCTAAGCACGACAGAACCGCCTTCAAAGACGACACTCGCTTTTGGCGGCCAACGACGGCTATTACGCAAAAAACGTAAAAATTTGGTTAAGGTAGGTCGATATGTGACCATCCGTTATTTAGCTAATATTCTAAAGCTTTTGTTTGGGACATTTTAGTTTATTTTAACTGATACTTTAAAATTCAAAAGGGTTGGAGCGTATTGGGTTCCTCGAATGTTAACAGACGCCAAAAAGAAAGCAAGGGTTGACATTTGAAAGAAACAGGCAACTGAACAGTCAGATCTCCAAATACATGTGGCGGGATTTACGTAACTTCAATACAACTCGTATTGAAGAAGCGATCGAGCGGAACCTGGACTCCCTATTCTTTGTCAAAGATCTGTCCGCCAGAGAGGCCAACTGTTGAAGCTGAAGACCGAATATGACAGCATCGTTTCCGGGACACATCAGATTTTGAGTGAGAATGAGCTGTACAGGTCATCGGTGGAGCCACACAAGAGCAAGTCTCTTTTAATATCCTGGGCGTCAGTCGGAGGGAGATTAGAATGTCTCTCCGCCACCTTGAAAACGGCAAGTCTCCCGTTGAAATGGCAACGGTGCAGCTCCGCTAGGGTCGCGAAGGATAGCGCGAGTGGTGCATCACCATACCAACATTCCTCTTCCCCCGCGACTCCACCTTGACTACAACGGGAAGGAACGGGGCCCTCCCGCCACAGTCTACCATCGCGCATCCAGAGTGGGCTAGGCAAGCCCATTCGGATCGCTGAAAGGACTGCATCACCGCCTAAAATTCTATGGAATCAAAGGCAGGTCATAGTCTACATACGCAAGATAAAGTGTATTCTTAAGATTTCTGTACTATTTACCAAAGGGTATGTATGTGGTCTATGGTCCTAAAGCCTTTTAGAAGACCGGCTTGTTCGAGAGGCTCTATATTGTCAAGTCTGCGTGCGAGACGATTCGTATTGACTCTCGAAAACAGCATGTAGACGTGACTCAGAAGGAAAATTGGTCTGTAGTTCTTCAAGAGAGCGTTGTCGCCTTTCTTGAAGAACAAGTACACATCATGATTTCTTATATTTACGCGAACACTACACATTGAAATAATACTAGTTTTTACGGAATTTATCAAGTATATTTAACTTTTTAAATACCCGACGTTTCGAACGCTTTACAGCACTCATGGTCACGGGCGGGACAGAGATGTTCAACGTCCAGATGTCATAGTTAACCGCGGTTACCATAGGTTAAAATTTAACTTTTGTTCCGATCTACACAGTATGAACTTATGGTATCTTGAAGTCTTGCAGTTGTATGCTTGGGTTGGGATTTAATTTTATTTATTATAGGATCCCAAGCAGATGGTAGCACCCAGCCATCTTCTCTATTGAAATTAGGATGTTTTTTGATTTCAATAGCCTCGCGAATCATCCTTGGAAGGAATCGGTGTTCTTTAGCGAGGATTTGTGGTCTATCAAATCTGATGTAGTGACGGGGACGATCCTGTACGTGTTCACAGACTGCAGACTTCCCGGAGCGTCGATTCTTCACATCAGCTATATGTTCTTTAACGCGGGTTTTAATTGATCTTTTAGTTTGTCCTATCTAGGAGAGACCATATTCACAATCAAGTTTGTACACTCCTGCATCTTGCAGAGGATCTTCATTCAAGTCCCGTAAAAATATAGTGGTAGGTATAGCTAAAAAGATGAATGATGAAAGATGAAGTGGAGTTGTCTTTGCGAATTAATGTTTCTTTACAAATAATTTAGAAGTTGAAAGATTTTCGAAAAAACTTACATACCAAGAGAGCGGCACGCCAGTTAATCTCGAGGCAGAATTCAAAGAGCAGCGTGGTCCAACCACGTTGAACGAAAAAATATTAGCTTTGATGGACAGTTTTAAAATATGTGATAGACGGCTAGCCCATCGAAAACTCAATCACAAATCTAAATATCCCATTAGTCGCCGTCTACAATATGCTAGGCAAGTAACGTAGTCGGCTAAGTCTTTTTTGTTATCAGTCCCACATAAACACGGGCAACAAACTGGACTATGGGCTGGATATAGACTGTGAGCTGTCATGACTGGATAGGTTATGTTTAACCATTGGCGTGTATAGAAAGGGGAAAGCCGAATTGTCAGTGTCTAGATTTGTCTGGTGTCCATGTAGGAATTAAACAATTTTACAAAAATAAACTTTCGAATGCAAAATAGATTTCTCACTGAGCGACCACATTACTCTAATCACCACACCATTTAAAAAATAGTAATAAATCTGTTACAACACAAATCAAATAAACCAAAGAAAATATTCAAAAATGTTATTTCTATCTTAAAGCTAAATCTTCTAACCCATCTTAGCTGGTGTCGGAGAGGATTAAATGTTGTTTAGGAGGCCGAAGTTGAACCTATTACAATTAATGAAATTTACATTCATTCTGTTTTTTTCCGAACATATTACATAATATTTATATTATGTAGTGCGTCTTCAACATATAACTGAAACGCAACATTAATTTGGTTTGCAAAACTTGTAATTCTTAAAATTTATATAATATCTAATGTAAAGAGATTTGTGAATACACTGTTAGCAATCAAATGCATTTTTATCTCGATTTCGTCTTTAGTTTTGTTTAAATTTTCTTAAACTCTAATATTATTTAAAAAGAAAACCCGCGCACACAATATCTCGTTACTCGATTCTATAATTTTATTAATATATAGTTATTTTTTTGTATAAAAATTATTATGCAAAAATAGTAACCTATGATTAACCTTGCTATTAATTGTTAAATATTTCGTATAACTGGATATTATACGAAGAATATCATTTTATTTTATTGCCGGAATCTAAGCAAGTGAAATTTTAATAACTTTTTTATAATATATTTCCGCAAGGTAACTCCTGACTTCATTAATTGCCTTGGACAAGTCGCACCCAGTGTTGAATTTGTTGATCACTGAGATATCTCTGACTACGCGCCTTTTTGTCCGTCATGTCGAAGTTGATCTCATCATTTGTCATTTTATAAAGGACCACTTCCTACAGAGCTTCTTCAGAAAGAACTAATTCGTCAAAAATAGCCCCTCTTTCTTATAGTAGTGAACTAGCATTTATTCTGCTTTCAAAACCGTGGTATCCGACTGTCACATGGCATCATACTGAAATAAACCAGGAAAGCCTTTGTGGTACCGACATGCTGAATGCTTGACGTTTGTACGTGATTATATTACATTATAATAAAAATTTGGACATCTTAAAATGTACAAACTCCTATTATTATATTATTTATCAAAAGGGAAATTATATACAACACACAATTTAGAAAATTAACTGCATCAATTATGAAGTCACTCCTAATAAAGATAATTTATATTAGCATGTATTAAGATTAATTTACGGGTAATCCGAAGAATAAAACGTTAACAATGATAAATTTAATATAAATACAGTGTCCTAAATGTAAGTGGTATCGTTAGCTACAAACTAAAGGCTAAGAAGTGAGTTTAAAAATTAGATATATTATTTATTTAAGCAACATTTCAATATAGAACATCTATACCCTATTACATTTATAAGTACCTACAAGTTTGCTAGACGCCTTTGCGCGAGAAAGAAACTAGGCCCCTTTATCACGTGGATGCAGTTCCTTTAAAGACTTGAACTTATTTTAACTTAAACTTATTTTAAAGTTTTTAGAAAATTTTAAATGACAATTTGTAATTACCATTTCCTTGGTTATTTTATATTTTGACTACGCTTTATAAGATAAACATCTTGTATTTTATTAAATATTGCCTTTGTTTCAGAACAAAAATGAAATACTTTATCGCCCTCGCGCTCTTCGCTGCCATGGCTTCTGCCAGCGTTATCCCGCCCGCGGTTATCGCTAGCGACAACCCTGAGATCCAAGAGATCGTGGCTGCTATCCAGAGTCCCAGCACTGACCCCGCTACAGCTGCCGCTCTCGAACAGATGCTACTGGATATCCTCGGATTGAACCAACCCGAGCCCGTTGAGGTTGGACCCGCCGTCGTTGACAACCCTGAGCCTATTTCAATCGGACCCGCTATCATCGATTTCCCTCTGCCCGACGGAGGTGCCGTGACTGAGGTACATCCCGCTCCCGTGATGCCCGCTCCTGTTGCCCCCTCTGCGGGCGCCCCTCTTGTTCAAATCATCCTGAATATCATGTCTACTTCTGACGTTGCCGGTTCCCCTGTTGCTATTGAAACCATCCCATCCCCCTCCCCAGCACCCACCCCCGTTCATGTGGTTGATGAAGCTATCGAACCCATGCCTGTTATCGTTGTAGACAAGCCTATCGTTCCCGAGCCCGTCACCGTCGTCGAAGAAGCCGCTGTACCCGAGGCTGTTATAGTCGCCCAGCCTATCATCGCAGTCCCCGCTGTCGTACCTCCTGAGATCCTTAACTAACCTGTTTAAAGCAATTTTGATTAATACTTGTAACTATCGAAACTTGTTTAAAACGTATAATAAAGTTTTTTGTTGAAACTTTTCTATTTTATTTATTACTAGCAACACCTGCCAAATATTGTCGTGCCTGTGTATACCATTTTTCATACAGCAAAATGGATAGCATGACAAAACTTCTCTGTAAAAGAAATACATATTATATTTATTATTTTGTTACATGATTCAAATGAGTTATGACAACAACACGGCGTTTCGGAGCTTATTCGATACAAACAAACAAACAAAAATCTTTCCTCTCTATAATACTAGTATAGATAAATCCTTTTTCTCTGATCTGATCTTTTTATCAGCCATGATATAATGATGGATTGAACAAGCCTGTTTCCCAGGCTTGTCCATTCCATCTATCGTCGAATAACTTAAATAATAAGTATGTCGGTGACTTTTTATATTTTTGAAAGTTCATGTCAACTCATTTATATGCGCCAACTTTTCAACATTGCTGGTAGTTGGTCAAACGGTGACGAAGTCTATTAATTACAGACAGATAGACAAAGAAACTGACACTGACCTCCTGAGCTAAATAAATGGCAGTTATTTCAATTTCACCGACAGACATTTATATGTATTTGTATTTTGCACTGTGCGATAGCGGCGTTAATAATTATATCTTGGCCCATTTGTCTTAGTCCCATAGTCGCCTCTTAGGACGGTTATGAAATGTTATTGATTATATTACACCACCACACAGTAAAGTCTTACTTGTCAGAATAGATACCATTACTATTATCAATTTCTGTTGCCATGCAGCCATGAGTGTGTCCACTTTTTTGTACCGGTTTGGAGCATATAGAAGGCCGTGTAGTGTCCTAAAACAGACGAAGCCTAGCTTATCATTTAGACGTAGTAGAGACGCGCTGCAGTGCATTGTGTTTGCAGCAGGAATGAGCGGTCCCAACCGAGGAAAGACCATGCTCACACAGAATACCAGCGGAAAATAGCAACATATTGTCGGTGATGAGAATCAGAGATCCATTTTGCTGGTAACGAGGCAATTAATCTTAGTCCTCAGGGAGACAACGCGTCTGCATTTTGATTCTTAATCGAGAATAAATGTAGGAATATTCGAGAATATTCTATGGATCACAATATTACCTTTCCATCAGTTAGACTGCGTGCTTGTTTGTCACTCTTTTTTCTTTAAAAAACAAGCCCACATATTGTCTAACCGACATCGGGCTCCTTCGCGTAAACGTACACAGACGGCGTTGTATGTAAATACCGTGCCTTGGCCACGGCCTGTTGTTCCTCTCTTCACGACAACTACTTATAAACCGATTACGAATATAATGGTTGTTACACTCTCTGCTCTAAAAAATAGGAAAGAAAATACACTACAACTCGGTATCGTCTCAGGACTACCCTATTTGCGATGTTTAGATTTCTACTTGATCACTCGTTAACATTACCAAAGGTAATTGCAGCAGAATATGATTTAGTAATTGTTGCATCATAATAACTAAGGAACTGAAAAAAAAAGTCGATAGTTTTGACTATATTGTGATATAAGAACTCCACTCCACTCCACTCGAAAGAAAGTACGGAAAGTGTTGAAAATTAGATTAAATTAGAAGGTGAAGATACGCTCTAAATATTCAAGATGATTAACTTAACAAAAAAACGACCTCGATGCTTCTTGAAAAAATACATGTTTCGGTGTATTGTTCGGTTATGATATGTAGATTTGAAGATAAAACTTCCACTACTACAGTCATAAACAATTTAGATTACTTTTAATTATCTTCACGCACAATCCCTAATGGTGTAGCCAGAGAGAACAGATCGCCAAGTGTCACGATCCTTACATACCTCTTTCGCTTCTTTCAGGTTCATTAACTTCTTCATACATGCACGTCTAGGTATCCGAGTACTCTTGACCTTCCCCTCTTCGAGCAATTTGCTCACATGGTCTTCGAAAGTTAGTCTCGGTCTACCTCGACACCTTTTAATATTTACTTTCGCTCTATATATTTACTTCGCCATTCGGTCTTCACTCATTCGCTCAACGTGCCCAAACCATTGGAGTACGCCTCTATCAATTTTTGTGATAAGGTCATCTTTCAATCCTGCCATATTGCGAATCTCTTCGTTTCGCTTTCGATCGGCTATGGTAACGCCACACATTTTACGAAGAGATCGCATCTCCACTGCATTCAACTTGCTTTTATGCTTCTTCTGGCATACCCACGTTTCGCTGCCATATAACAAAGTCGGTACCAACACTGCGTTATGTATTGTAAGGCGTGCACTCTTCACCACGCCTTGCCTTTTGACTAATGCATTCAGGGCACCATTGACTTTGACATCGACTATCCACATCTAAATCACATCTTACATCCCGGCTGAAAGCACTCCCCAAGTATACAATTTCATTTACCTGTTCTAGAAGTTCCTGATTTACCCATATTTCACATTTCGTTCTCTCTTCGTCCTTTTCAAATACCAGAACCTTAGTTTTATTAGCATTCAAACGGAGACCTTTAATTTCACATTCCTCTTTCATACACGTGACTAATGCCTGCAGTTCTGCTTCTGATGGTGCAATAAGCACTGCATCATCAGCATACAGCAGACAATTTACTTTTATGTCACCCAATTTCACACCCAAACAGCTATTTTTCAGCTTTTGTAAACAGCTGTCGAGATACAGTATGAACAGCCAGGAAGACATGACACAACCCTGTTTTACGCCCGCTTGGACGCTAAACATGGGTGACAGGTCATGCCCTACCCGCACACAGGCTTTACAGTCATAGTAAAGTGACTGCACAGCCCTTAGCAATCGACCATCCACACCATATCTCGGCAACAGTTCCCACATTTTCTTCCTTATAACCTTATCAAATGCTTTCTCCAGATCCACAAAAGCACAGAAAATCCTCTGGTTAACACTCAGAAGCTTTTCCGTGATCATGCGGAGAGAAAACATTTGATCCGTGCATCCTTTTCCAGGTCTAAATCCGCATTATGCATCCCATAATAATCTTTCCGATTTCTCTTGCATCCTACGTGTCAAAACCTTCTAGTAAAATTTACTTGCTAAACTGGTCAAGCTGATCGCCCGATAGCACCCGCATTCAAAATGTGAACCTTTACCTTTATATAAAGGCACAATGACCGCGGATCGCCAATCATCCGGGACATCTCCCGTCCGCCAGCACAAGTTGCACCGCAGACGAAAGCTGTCCCAGACGCGAGGCCCACCGTACTTGACCATTTCAGCAGTAACTCTGTCTAGTCCCGAAGCCCTACCACATTTCAAACTTTGAATCGCACGTTCAATCTCTTTCATGCTGATGACCTCAATGTCATCGAGGTCCGTGTCTGGCGTGCCAGTCACGGCGTCACCCTCGGATCCTTCACTAAGATCATGACACGCATACATTTCTCTATAAAATTCACTCCATCGCTGCATGACGTCCGATTTTTTTGAGAGGACGTCATTGGTTCTCGAAAGCATTTTGTTCATTCTTAAGGCTGTCGCACCACTCCGGGATCTTCCAACCTCTTTCCAGAAGAGTTTGGAGTTTTCCTTAAAGTTGTGCGACAACCTTTCGTCCGCTTTTATTCTACACCTTTCACGTACTTCCTCAATCAGTGTTTTCGCATGAACTTTCTGCAGCTTATATATTTCTTTCATCTTCTCTCTCATATGCTTATCGTTACTAGAGGCCAAGTAGTCTAACCATGCTTTTTTCTTCCTTTTTACAGCTTCTCTCACTTCATCATTCCACCATGCATCCACTCTTTTTGTCGTTCCACATACTTCTTCCGCTGCACTTACCATTCCATCCCTAAGGTTCTGCCATGTTCTCTCCACATATACTTTCCTGCCATCGATGGTGTCAAGCTTTTCGGCTACCCTCGTGTGATATTTGTCCTTAGTATCCGCTTCGAAGCTGGATGCGACAGACCGACTGTGGTTCTGTTATTGCCGTCCGGTAGCGCCAACCCGCGAACAAACCCCTAAATCTAGTAATTACTAGATAGTAATCCGTTCCCAAGTCAGCACCCCTGAACACTCGTGTATCCATCACCTGTTTTCGCAGTCGGCCATCCACCTCGAACAAATCAATCATACTTCTCTCATTCTTTCTTTCTCTAGTGTACATATGGATTTTCCTGTGATTAAACATAGTGTTTGTCACAAGAAGACCCTTTTCCTTGCATACGCCAGTATAAGATTGCCAGTATAGCCGGTATAAGCTTGCCAGCATCATTAACCCTTTTATCGCCAAACTTTCCAAGCACCGACTCGTATCCTGGTCAAGCGATACCTACCCATCCATTCAAATTACCACATACAACAGTTCTTTCGTTTCCCTTAACCAAATCTAGAACTTCTCTTATATTCTCCCAAAACTCATCCAGCTCAGCCCTGGACGACGAAGCTACCGGCGCATAAACAACCAAAAGGAATAACTTCGTCAGTCCCAGTTTAAAGCGAACCCAGAGAAGTCTTGAGTTCACAACCTTATATTCAGTCATAAGATCGACCAACCGGGACGACAGCAGCACCCCCACTCCCTGGCAGGCGTTCTCGCTTTCCGGGACTCCGGAAAATTTAGCTAACGTCCTGCCAGGGAGCTCTTCAGTACCACTGCCTTTCCGTTTGGTCTCCGACATACACACGACATCTAATTCTCTTTCTTTCATTATTTCGATCAACTCATTCGTCTTATCTCTCATGCCCCCTCTAACATTCCACGTGCCAACTCTGCACTCCATCCTCCACCAAATTTAGATGGTTATTTATAAGACAAAACAATTTAGATGGTTATTTATAAGATCATAATTATGGGATAATTTATAAAATTTACAAATAACAGTAACAGTTTATTCGAAATTTTGTGTGTGTGATTCATATTAATTTTACTCTCCTCTTATTTAATGAAAATAGACCTCTCTTACTATAAGGAGCGGACTTGATGGCCCTAGTA